CAAAGAAGCATTGTCTCATGCAAACCCAGGAAGAAGGCCACTTTACTCAACAAGCTCCTCTTGGCGCCAAAATTGGTTACGGTACCTTTGATTTCTGCCTCTATGCTATTGTGTCATATTTTTTATGCAAAGGATCCCAAGTTTCCTTGGCAATGGAGTATGTTCTTTCATAGTAATCATAAAGCTCATCAGAAAGGCAATTAAGTAAAGAGTTGCGGCAGCTATATTCATCTTTCTCCCACTTTTGGACTTTCTTCTTATGAGATTTCTTTTCCTCAGCACTCATACCTTCGGTTGACAAATTAATAGGATTTTCCTCGTTGAGGACATATGCCAAATTTAACAAATTAAGATAATACAAAACTTTTCCTTTCCATCTTTTGAAATGCTCACCATTAAAACGAAAAGGCATGTTAAGATCATTAGCGAGCTTAACAGGTTTTTCACGAGGTAAACTCATTTTTTAAAGAATTTTTCTTTCGAGACATCCTAAAATTGTTGTTCCTCGTAAAATAAGTAGAAGAAAATAGACAAAAGATTAGCAAAAATAATTAATTAAAGATGAAAATGAAAATTAGAAAGATGACATCGAGAGTATGAGGAGCTTGAGCTAAGGCATGGATCAATCATTCTCTTTAGGACGTTTCGTGCCACTGGTGCAACAGTTCTAATGGTCATACCGCCCCCAGGATACAATAGCCCAACCTTCGCCTCGTTGTATCTTTACAAGTATTGCACTCTTGTAGAGAAAGCTCTACCCCACCACTTTTTCTTTGCCTAAAGAGAGTTTGTATATTGTGTTTGTGAAATAAGAGTGCAGATCATAAAATGGTATCAGCCTTTGGTAGATATTTAGGCTGCCTTTTTATAGGGCTTCACAATGTAATCGAAGTAGACAAAATGTTAAAATTTGAAATGAATTCGGTTATCAAAAAGATTTGAAATTGATGTAGATAAATGCAATAATGTTTTCTATTACCAAACGAGATATGAAACTGATGTATTGATTTATTGCTTTTTACCCATTTAAAAAAAAACGAGACAGGCATGCATGCATTTATTTACAAGCAGGGATGGGTGGGTGACTGACGTTTGTTTTTTTTTTTTTTTATTTGAAGACAGTGGATTTGTAACCGGTTGGAATTAATTTTGAAAATAATTAATTTGTAACTGTTGTTGTTTCAGAAAATGTGTAACTTTTGACATTAAATTTTTAAGTAATAACTTTATAACCGACTAGAAATGGTTTTTAAAATTAATGAGATTTGTTAGTTACAATTTTTAATTAAAATTTACAACACTACGTAACCCCACTCACCCTCATTCTCCGTGCTTCCCCCATATGACATTCTGTGTCACCTCTCACGTATCACCTCCATGCTTGCCCTGCGTGTCTCAACAATCAAGATCTTAGGGCCATCTTTCTCAACCGGAAAAATGTCATTCATGGTTGTTATTGGCAATCCGTATGGTAAAATACATCTACAAGTAATGAAAAATATTTTTGTATGCTGTTATACTTTTCATCTTTTCTCTAACCTAGATTGTACACTACAAGCAAAATGCCTTTTACCAACGGAAGTTTATACTGACGCATTGAAATCCGTTTGTATACACGGGTCTATACCAACGGAAAAATATATCCGTCTATATAGACAAGTCTAGACCAACGGAAAAATATATCCGTTAGTATAGGTTAGGTCTATACAAACGAAAAATTATATCTGTTAGTATAGATTATGTTTATACAAACAAAAAATTATTATCCATCTGTATAGAAAATATCTATACCAACGGAAATCATCTTGCATTTGTATAAATATATTTATACATACAAATTTCTATATATTGTCTGTATAATTTACTATTCGTTAAACTCAATTTTTTCCTCTTTGATTTTAGCCGGCTGTCCTTATTTTCACTTCCCTCCACATTTTCCCCAATTTTCCTTCTCTACGTTATGAGTTTCCCTCCCCAGCTAAACCTAAATATTTCCCTCTCCCAAATCTAGTTCGACTCCAACCTTCGCCAAAATTCATTTCCCTTTTCTCTCTTCTTTCTCGTATCCTTTCCCTTTCTCCTTCTCGCTGTTCATGCCATCATCGTCCGATCGAAGGGGCCAGCCGACGTTCTCTTTGTGGGACAGTTCTCCAATAGCGCAAATCTGACATTCGATCCAAAAAATTTGGTTAAC